TCGGATTGCTCCGCACCTTCTGCGTTCCTCTCCCTTCCCTCAGTTCTGTGCCGAGGACTGTGCCGCGGGATCCGGCAGCGTGATGTTTGGCCGCAGGAGCATGGCCCGAACAAATGATTTGTGGGAGGGGATGTGCACTGCGACGAGAAGGAGAAAAAGGTTGCGAGACGACCACCACTACCAGACCGGAGTGAAGTTGTGTTTTGTCCACTTGCGCGAGGGCGGCCTGCCACCTGGTCGGTGAGGAGGATTATTTTTTTTTTTTGCGTCGTTGCGCTCTCTTTTATTCCGCCGCGTTTTCTTGCGGACCTGCGAAGGGAGATTTGCAAGAAGTTCCTGCGAGGCGTCCGTGCCGTCGTCGGAAAAGCGGATTTCCCTTGAAAAACGCTACTTTATAAATTTGTTTTGGGCGGGGAGTTCCTGTCGATTCACTGCGACTTTGTTTTGCGGATTTGATGCGTGTGTTTCCGAGCGGCTCGGTCTGTGCTCCCGGCCCACTCGGATGTGGTGTGCGCGTCGACGTGAGGGTGCCTGTCAGCCGTTTTATTGCCTTCCCGCTGTGGCTGCCGCCGCTGTCTTCTTCCCTTCCTGAGGTCCTGCGGCTTCTTGACACGATGTTTTGGAGAAGGCGTTGCCGCTCTTGTCGTCCATGTTATTTTGATTCTGGTGTCGCGGTCAGGAGACATTGAACGAGAGGGTTTGCTGCCCTCTTGTTTTGCTTGTCCTCTCTGCCTGACGGCCAGTTCTGCACAAAAGTGCTTCTCGGCATCTCAGTTGGTGCTGGCGGGTTTGTTCACAGTTGGGACTGTCAATCGCATGCGCCAACTTTCCGTTGCTTTTTTACATTGACGCAATTATTTTTATTTATTTATTAACTGAAGCCATTCTGTCCGGCGTGCTACTTTGATTGGATTGTGGGACTGCTCGCCAACGCCATCGGATAAAGCAGGCCGACTCTTCCACATATTTAATTGCCGTCTTGTGCGCACGTGTTTTTCACATGTTCTGTTGGGCACTCAGACAGCGAGGGATCCGGAACTATGCGTGCGTGGATTCTTCCTGCCATGTGAGCTGCGGGCAACACCGAGGGGCTGTCACTTTGACTCCGCAGAGTTGTTGTGTCTTTTTCCAGGGTTGGCAGGGAAACTCTGTGCAGCCTGCTACTGCCGGTGTGTCCCGAAATGTTGTCACTCCATGCGAATAACGTGCTTCAGCGAGTGAGGGTGTTGGTTGGGTTTGTGTGCATTCTGGTTCTGTTTGCCACTTTGTGCGGGCACGCAACACTTGAGTGGTGGGAAAATGGAGCGGGCGATGCATGACCGTGTCCCACCCATTGTTCAGTGCACGATGGTGCGGTGCGCATTGTGGTGCTGACTCTCCGATGTGACTGCGGTCTCCTGTGCGGCAATGGTGGAGGGTGGACGAGAGTGTTGACCCGCGGCGGGACAGTGGGATCGTGCCTCCTTTTCTCTTTGTTTCTTCCCTTTTGTGAAGGTGCACACTTATTTTTGGTGTTGGTGATCGGGAAAACAAACAAACAGAAAACGTGAATAAAATAAAATAAAAAAAGAGAAGGACAATAATGTGGCGGTGTTGTGGCCGATTGCACGTTGCGTTGCTGCGGGGGCGGTGGGCATTGACTGTTTCACCGACAGGCGTTGCAGTGCGGCTGCATGGCGCACTGACCGCCCTGCGGTGCGAGTGCCACGCCCAACGCCATTGGGACTGCGAAAAGAAACAGCCGCGAGTGTCCTTTGGGGCCAGCGGCGCCTTCTGGCCGCAGTTTGGCGGTGCGAGTGGGGTGCTTCACTGCACGGGTGTTGTGATGGCGCCTCGCCGTGTCTCTCGTGATGGTTCCGACGCTGCGGCTCGACATGTGGCGGAGAGTAAAGTGTGGCCGCAGTGGACCATGAGCAGCACCAACATGAGGCTGAGTGATTTCCTTTGGAATTATGTTGGCGGCAGGGCGGCCGTTGATGAAGGACTACAATGTGACGATGGAGATGTTTGTTCAGGAGTCGGATGATTACGTGCAAGACCAGCGGCTTCTTAGAATTATTTTTAATTTAACAGAGTACCAGGTGTACAAGCTTCATCACGAGGGTGTGTTCTCTCTCGAGCAATGGAGGGACTATGAAGGAAAGGATACGGTCACTCCTCTTGCAAGGGGAAAACTAAACGCAGCCCTCACTCAGATACTAAAAGTAGAACGGCGTGAGGCAGAAATGAAATTTGCCATTTCCACTACGATCGAAGATGTACTGTTTAAAGGAAGGGTTCGCGTGAATAAAATGAGGCTGAACGACTTTTTTACGAGGGAACTGGACGGCAGGGGCGTTGTGGACACCAATCGGGATGTCTTGCCGGAGGAGTTTTTCAAGGACCCCACGAAGTATATCCGTGATAAGGGAGTATTGAAAGAAATACAGGCATCCAGTCGTTATTTGAGTATGAGGTGAGCTGTAAAGGGTGAAGTGATCTTCGATGAGGATATACGCAAGCTATGCGATAAGGGTGTCAACAATC